GTATGGGAGCTCTGGTAGCATAGTGCCTAAGGCACTTGACTGCTAACCAGAAGGTTGGGAGTTCAAACCCACCAGCCACTCCTCGGAAGGAAGGTTGAGCAATCTACTTCCGTAGTGATACTGCCTCAGAAACCCAAGAAGGGGTCGCTATGAGTCGGGTCCAACTCGATGGCAAATAACAGGAACAACAACATATATGTATTTGCTGAATGTCCTGTTAAACAATTTGGAGTTCAGGCAAATGTAGGAAAAACTCTCTCTAGAAGAAGATAACATCATACAAAATCTCTAGAATTTTTCATATACAATGTCTAACAGCCATTAAAAAAAAAAGAATATTGCAAAGCACATCATGGATTTTGAAATAACTGTAATTAATATATACAATAAAGTAATGAAAAGATGGAGAATTTCAGCAAAGATTTTGAATTTGTAAAAGGGATCAATGGAATTTCTAGAACTGAAAAAGCAATTACAAAACTTATAAAATTCATTGTTGTTGTTGTTGTTAGGCTCCGTCTAGTCAGCTCTGACTCATAGTGACCCTATGTACAACAGAACACTGACTGGTCATGCTCCATCCTCATGATCCTTGCTATATTTGTGTCCATCGTTGCAGCCATGGTGTCAATCCATCTTGTTGAGGGTCTTCTTCTTTGCTGATCCTACCAAGCATGATATCCTTCTCCAAGGAATGGCCTTCTCTGACAACATGACCAAAGTAGATGAGACAAAGTCTGGCCATTCTTGCTTCCAAGCAGCATTCCGCCTGTACTTCTTCCCAGACAGATTGTTCCCAGACAGATACTGTGGACTGTCAGATTCTTCTGACAGTCCACAGTATTTTCAGTATTCTTCACCAACACCACAATTCAAAAGCATCAACTCTTCTTTGGTTTCCTTTGTTCATTCTCCAGCTTTCACATGCGTATGAGGTAATTGGCTTGGGTTAGGCACATCTTAGTCCCCAAAGTGGCATCTTTGCCTTTCAACACTTTATTTATTTGAGTTTGTTTTACATTCTACATTTCGTGTACAGTTAGTTTCACTCCCCATTTACTATTCCCAACCCTAACCCAGTCTCCTCCCCTCCCTGTCCAGTAACACCCCCCCAAGCCCCTCATAGTTATGCCCTCCTATGTGTCCTGCATTTCCTCCATGCAAATGTTACCTCTCTGGTGCCCTGTGGTCGATTGCTCCAAGGGATGCATTTCTATAGTGTGTGGGTGAGTCACCATAGGTTGAGGGGTCGGTGTGCACATCTTGTTTACTATTGGACTGAGAGCCAGCCCCTGGGAGTAAGTTTTATTCCAGGCCCAAAATGTATCCCAGGGTCATAGTAGTGGAGGTCTCACCAGACTCCATCTGACCAGTAATTCTGGTCACTATTGTGTTTTTGGATTTTGTTCCACATTTTTCCTCCCACTCTATCCTGGATCCCCAGTTTTGATTCTTTTCTGAGTGGTTGGCATTGGTAGCCAGGCACCATCTAGTTCTTCTGGACACCATCATGTCCTAGGGCTGATTGCTTCCAAATGCCCTTGATTTTTTACACTCTTCTTTGCTTCTGATGATAGGAGATCATTAGCTGCATCTTAGATGAGCGCTTGAAAGATTTTAAGACTCCAATTGCTACTCACTAATGTAAGATAAAGAACAGTATTTTTATGTATTTTTTTGTGCCAATTGAGTCTGGTGTCCCCCAGTACTATGGTCCTGA